GTGTTTCTGGGTCTCTATTAAGAAAATTTCAGCCTGTGCCAAGGAGACCTAGGGTTTCTCCTATTCCATCCTGTAATGTTTTCAGGGCGTCCACTTTGACTCCAAGGTCTTTGATCCATTTGGAGTTGATTCTGTTGCAGGGTGATATATAAGGATCTAGCTTTAGTTTTCTACAAGTAGTTAACCAATTTTGCCAGCACCATTTACTGAAGAGGCTGTCTTTCTTCCATTCTTTTCTTTTTTTGCTCCCTTAGCGAAGATTAGATGACTATACATCTGTAGGATCATTTCTCGGTTTTTCAATTCTATTCCATTGGTCCTGAGGTTTGTTCTTGTGTCAGTACCAAGCTGTTTTAATTACATACTCTACTCATGGAATACAATTTCTAAAGACAAAAGCTTGGTAGCTAAGGAAATTGAGTTGCAGAAGGTGAATAAACTTCACTAAATGCAAGGCAGCTGTAAGCATACCGAAATATAAAGCAAACCATAAACAGCTCATACAAATTGAAGTTGTCTGTGATATGAACCACATTAGAACACCTTGGAAATTAATGTAACCTTTGGGCTCTCTTTTAGACATGCACTTGTGTCATTCTGAGCACTATTTGGAGACCTGGTGAATAATTTGAATAGTTACAACTTCATTTTTATCTTTTTGAAAAATTTCAATATATTGATCTCAATTATCAATAAGTTAAATAAACAAAAATTCATTAACATATAAAATCTTTGAGCTATTTATTTATTTTTAATTAATTTTTGCCAGTCCTGGGGCTTGAACTTGGGGCCTGTGCTCTGACCCTGAGCCTCTCTGTGCTTAAGTCTAGTGCTCTACCTTTGAGTCACAGCCTTGCTTCTGGCTTTTTCTTTTTTGTGTAGTATTGAGGAATCAATCCCAGGGCTTCATTCATGCTAGGCAGACACTCTATCACTGAGTCACATTCCCAGCCCGAGCAATGCAATTTAAAGCTTGATATACAACAGTATATAAAATGAAGTAGCTAAAGCCAAGTGTTGGCAGCTCATGTCTGCAATCCTACCTACTCAGGCTGAGATCTGAGGATCTTTATAACTTCCAAATTTTATGCACTGCTTTGTTACACAGATAGGTCAATTAACAATCTTGACACCCAAATTTTAAATTTTTAAATTTTATGTGAACATGATTGATTTTCCTGCATAAAATTATGAAAATTTTCATAGGGTCCTCTCTTTTGATTTTGGCATTTTAGTAGTTTTGGAAATGAATAGATTAGTACATATGACATTTCCTACTATTTGCTACTTCTGAGACACCAGGTTGACATGCAATTTCCCCTTTATTCCCTGTCCATTTACCTCTGTCACCCTCCAATGAAACTTACTCTTCTTTTCTCTCATTTTCAATTTTCTTCCCTCCCTAACATCAGTGTGTTACTTAAAAGTTGTTTGAGAGCTGGACATCAGAGGTTTATACCCATAATCCTAGCTATTCAAGAGACTGAGATCTGGAATATAACAGTCTGAGACCAGCCTGAGAAGAAAAGTTCACTGGATTCCATCTCCAAAATGACCAGCAAAACCCAGGGATGGAAGTGTGGCTCAAATGGTAGCATGCTAGCCTACCAAGCATGAGGCCTTGAGTTCAAATCCCAGTACCATAAACAAAAAAGCTCTTTGAGGTTGGATCTCCTTACTAACATCTAATCAGAGAAGTTCTAATTGTTTGACAGTTTTATTTATTGGATTATGAAGAATTTTGCAATGCTGGGCACTGGTGGCTCATCCCTGTAATCCTAGTTACTCAGGAGGCTGAGATCTGAGGATCGAGGTTTAAAACCAGCCCGGGCAGGAAAGTCCCTGAGACTCTTATTTCCAATTAATCACCAGAAAACTGGAAGTAGCACTTTGACTCAAGTGGTAGAGCACTGTCCTTGAGCTAAAGAGCTCAGGGACAGCACCCAGGCCCAGAGTTCAAGATCACTCCACAGAGTGATGTGTAGCCTTGCCATAAGTCTGTAAAGAAAGGTCATTTTATTTTAAATGCATTTTCACATGCAATAACTGATATTAATTGTAAATTGTAGGAAGCACAGTTGACTGCTACTTCTAGCACTTTCAATATTTGTTTCTAGTGTGGCCTCTATAATGCATTTCAGACAATAATAAACTATTCTTGCTCTTGGATCAAGATTCACTAAAACATTTATCAATGGAAGACAATTTTACACTTGTACAATCAATGAGCTCATTCTTGAATCTAAATCCATGTTTATTCTTCCGTGATCCCTTTTCCTAGATCTTTAGCTGTATTAGAACCTTCCCTTGAATTCCTGTGTCCCTTCTTATTGCAATTCAAAAGAAATGGTTTAGAAATACTGAAGTTGTTCAGAAAATATTGAAGTTGTTGAGAAAATTCTAAATTATATTTTTTCATTATTCAAAGGAGTTATTCATAAATGCTAAAATAACTTTTAAAACCTATTGATATTATTATAATATGCTGTTGCAGACTCTAGGCAACTATTTTTTATAGGCAACATAGTTGCAAGTAAATTACAAATGCAGACTTTATGACTCCAATTAAACTCTCTTCCACAATCCATTAAAAACAGATTATACACATTAAATTAAATGTGAAGAAAAATAAATATACCACATGATTTTGGCTATCAAAATAAATGAGGAGTCACAATTTCAAATAACTTATGTGTATCTAATTTTCCAATACAACCCAATTTTTTGACTGTCATAAGAGAAAATACTCTTGTCCTGAACATTTTTAGATACATGTTTATCCTTCTCTCTTTTCTTCATACTTCATTCTTTTATTCTACGTAAGAAAGTCTCTGAAAGTATTTTCCAAGCATGAAAGACTGGATAAAAGAGGTTCTATAGTTGAGCCATAAGAAAATATATTCATTGTAAGAACATTGCAAACTCAGAAATACGTGGTTGTAGTAATGTGATTTTGTAAGAATCAAATCAAGTGACTAAAAAGATAACCTGAAACAAATTGAAATGTCAACATCAGTGTAAACTGCTTATGTGAGCACATCTTAAGAAAACTTTTGCTAATGCTTCCCACCGTTTGATGATCGGACTCTTTCCCGACCATGAGCTTGCTGCATAACGTGTCTGTAAAGCTCAATGCTATCTGGTCCTCACCTTCATTCTTCAGCTCTCACTTCTCCAGTGAGGAATGAAGTTATGGCAATTATAAGTTTGAATCTAGCACTTCTGACATGGACAAGTACCCAATGAAACAGAGAAAGACACACTGAAGCAAACAAACTATCGTTAAACAAAAATAACTGGGGGGCTGGGAATGTGGCTCAGTGGTAGAGCGCTTGCCTTGCATGTATGAGGCCCTGGGTTCGATTCCTCAACACCACATAAGCAAAAAGAAAAAAAGCTGGAAGTGGCGCTGTGGCTCAAGTGGTAGAGTGCTAGGCTTGAGCTGAAGAGCTGAGGGACAGCACCCAGGCCCAGAGTTCAGGCCCCACGACCGGGCCCCCCCCTCAAAAAAAATAACTGGGTTATAGGGAAGAAAATAGCAAACAGTATTTAAAATAGTGAATTAAGAACAAATTCAAATGTGAATATGGAAGTATGATATTAAATCAAATAAAAAATTTAGCATAGGTGTTTAAGAATTTGAGTTCTTATTTTTATAAATGAAAGTAGCATTGCTGCTGGCAACATTTACAGAAACATATTTCTCATCAGGAAGCTTACAAAATATGCATGCACAGGTCTATACACACATGTACAGGACCAATGCCCTAAGCCTGTCTCCACACAGAGAAAGAAGGAGGACATGAACCCTAAGATATGTATTCAAATGTTCTTTTTTCTTTCATGCGATTGTTTCTAACACATTTATAAGATTATTTCTTTGTTGCTTTGTATGTTCCCCCCCCACACACAATATACCCCTGCTCTCACTATATTTGATGTCGGTATAATTTGTAGAGGGGAAGGAGAAAAACAAATCGTTTAAATAGGGATACAAGTGGACCCATTGCAACAATGAGATGTATAAGATGTTATGTCGAAAACGAACTTTACAACTTTGGTGCAGGGCTGGGGGAGGAGGAATTCAGTGGGGGGACAGGGAGAGGATGGGAAGGGGAAACAAAGGAGGAGGCTACAATGCTTGATTAGAAATGTATTCATTATCTTGCCCATGTAATAGTAACCCCTCTGTACAGTATTTTCGCAATAAAAAGAAAAAGAAGTAAAAGGTTGAGAAATATTTTGAAAATAAAAATAGGCTTCTGAGAAGATTCTTTTTTCTTTCTTTCTTTTTGTCGGTCATTGGGCTTGAACTCTGGGCCTGGGCACTGTCCCTCAGCATTTCAGCTCAAGGCGAGCGCTTTACCACATAAGCCACAGCGCTACTTCTGGTTTTCTGGTAGTTTATTGGAGATAAGAGTCTCATAGACTTTCCTGCCTGGGCAGCCTTTGAACCGCGATCCTCAGATCTCTGCCTCCTGAGTAACTAGGATTACAGGCGTGAGCCACCGGCACTCGGCCCTAAGAAGATTCTTAAATCATGTCTGGATTTAACACAAAGACAGATACCAAGGATATTCAACAGTCGCCTGAAAAATAATGTCCTCTTTGAAATACCCACTTTTTCAAGTCTAGTTCCTGCAATTTCACAAAGTCACCAATTGTCTGATAAAAGCTCTCTACCTGAAATATTCTTAAGAATCACATGGTGCTAGTAGCAAGTGTCTTAGCAAGGAAATCAAAGCAAAGTAGCAAGGAAATAAAATCAAAGTTTTAAAGAGAAATGCATTGGAGGAGACATAATTGTTAACAGAAACGCATAGCAGTACATCATGACATCTAAAGTTTACACTAAATTGCCCCTTTCACAGGAAGTTCTGAAAAAGAAATGCTTTTAAAATGTAGGTTGAGAAAAGGTCAATAATAGCCTTTCAAGTTTTCTGAGCCTAGATTTGTTCGGTTTGTTCATGAACCGAAAGTAAAATGAACCTGAACCTTACCGCTTCCACCTCAGCAGGGTCGTACCACACATTGATGTACGGATGCTGTAAGGCATCATCCACGGATATCCTTTTGGCTGGGTCAATCACTAGCATCTTTGACAACAAGTCCCTGGCTTGGCTGGCTGAAACAATAGATGAGAAAAACAATGAGTGAGATTTGTATTTGGACAAGGAAATTTGTTAAATGGAGAGGAAACTAAGAAAACAAAGAACGGACTATTAACTTCTTTCAAAGCACAGTAAATTTTTTAATGTTCTGCAAAAGAAATCATTTGGGACTTGTTAAGGGTTCTAGGTATGAGTATGTGAGATGAATTATTCACTAGAATTTAAAGTCACATTTATCAAGGCAGAAAGTTTGTACACTAATTTGCTTGGGTAATATGTAAGGGTACAGGATTGATAAGATACGCAGGATGGGAACTGAAATTGCTTTCTGCAAAAGCAGGGATGGCTGTTTGCAGTCAACCAATGTTGAAGCTAGGGGCACAGTACGAGGGGTAGATAATCTACCTACTAAACATGAGATCCAGACTTTAATCCCCAGTACCACCAAAACAAAAAGTAAGAAAGTCAATCAGAATTTAACAAGAGGCTATGTAGTCCAAATTTCATAATATATAAAAATATATGTATATGTGTTTATATTAATATAATGTGTTTATATATAAAATAATGTGTTATATGTGATATAAACACATATATTATATATGTATGTATGCGTGTATATGATATTATTATATATTATAACATAAGTACACATATGTTACATGTGTTTACATATATGCTTATACATATAAAAATAATCTGAAGAGTAAGTATGATGTCATTTAACACTCTGTGATTATCAGGCCTTTTAAATCAATGGCCATGAATGGATGAAATGGAGTGATTCATGGCTGAAAGTAGTCCAATGCTACCCTGATAATAATGACAAAGCCTTCACCATGCACATGTGTTCATGGCTAACATTATGGCTGCAGCACTAGGCACACAGTGTGCAGTGATAATTAGTAAGCAGACTTACCTGATAGCATTTACATAAAATAGAGTTTTAGCAGGAATAAGACATACCCTAAATGGATGTTGTCACTCAACTAATCTAAAAGTTCAGTCAGTGGTAAAAAATAATTCAATTTATTCTGAGTATATGTTAAAACTTCAAATTAAAGAGAAAAAATCTCAATACATTTACAAAAATTCAATATGCTTTAATTTATGGACACCTATTAAATTTATGTAAATCATTTTTTCAGATTAAGGCCACTGGATTAGTTGCGCAAACTTGAAAATGGCATAAAATATTCAAATTAAGAAATATCAGCCAGAGACAACCTCTGTGATTGTTAACATAATTTTCCTAGTTCTGTTTATTTATTCACAGAATTTAACTATTTATTGTTCAATTCCTTTTCACATAATTTTGACAGTACCGTAGTTAAAATTAATAAACTACTTTTGCACTTACCATATAAGTACTGTCTTATTTTTTCACATTTTAATATAGTGCCCAATGTTTTATACTACTGTTAAAAAAATCACTTATAAAATTGGACCTTAGGACTTTCTATTTCTAGTACCATTTTCTGGTAAACTCAATCACACCAAATGATTACTATTATTCTCAAGTAAAATTTTAAAGCTCACCAAAATAGTAAAAATACAGAATTAATTAAATATTGAATCAAAATTTAATCATTCTCATTAACAGTATCTCCCTAGTGGCCTATCACAGCTGTGTTTGTTTTACTGATTGAAAGATATCTCTGATTTGTAACTGTTTTTTATTGTAAAAGTGATGTACAGAGGGATTGCAGTTACAGGTCATGAGTGCATTTTTTTTTAACAGTGTCACCCCCTCTCTTATTTTCTCCCAAGTTGTAGAGTTCATTTCCAACACAGTGTCTAGTGAGAACCACTGCTGAATTGGTTCATCCTTTGTCACAGTTTCTGTGCTTCTGTTTCTGAAATTGGCTCCTCATTGGTAGGGGCAGGAACTATGCTAATACCAAACCATCTTATTATGAAATAATCATCAATACCATATGGGGGGAAACAAAGCAAATAAAATAATTCAGTGCCTTATCTTTCATTTGCAGGCAATGCTATTAGGTTCTTTTCCAAATAGGGTAGAATATGAGTTTCCTTTAAATTTTATTTATATAGTGATTCTTTATGAAGTGCTGGTTCTGCATTAAAAATGTTAATTAGGTAAGTGTAAATATGTTAGCTATTTAATGACTTACAAAATAATACAACTGTAGAGGTCTCACTGTAAAAGAATCCTCAAGAAAGTTAGAATTCCTTTATGAAGTATGGTACTCCATACTTTTTCTGTCATTACTATTCAATAATTTCATGACAGCTTTGTTATCTCCTTCCTGTTACACTATGTGTCTTCATAAGCAGGGGATTCGTTTTTGTCTATAATCATGAATGCGTAAATTCTGAAATATCTCTAGATGGAGTTATAGACCTTTTCAAATTTGCATGTAGGTAGTATTGATATATTTGGCAATAATTGAGTCCATGCCACTAAGAAGATAAGCCAGAGGGAGCTGAGGAGAGCATCTAACTGCGTGATGTAATACTTAGGAGCCCAGAAACTACATTGGATATTGAAAAGCCTCTCAGTGAAATTTAAAGCTATCTAGGAAATGCGAAATCCTAGAAAACAGTAGCACAACAATTTAGTGTCTCTGTCTCAAGACTACCTTACCTTTTTGAATTAAGTTAATTTCAGATACTTGTGCCCTGAATGTTAAAGGGTTCATTTTCAAGAGTACATGTCCTAACTTTTTCTGATTAACAGGCAAGTATTTTTAATATGACTTTTTTACTATATTTAAGTAATTCAGCATTTGTTATAAATCAGGCCCTGTTTTAAGTACTTGGCAAGAAATTAAGTCAATGATTCTTTCCAACAACTCTCCACAGTTATTCGTTAAAATAAATAAAGACTGGGAAATTTGTCCAGGGACACAGAGATTTTAAGGCACAGAATCAGAATTTGAACCTTAAATGAGAAGGATCTAATTTGTTTCAAAAATAGATTCTTAGGAGTATCCTAAATTATAACAAGGAATAGAATGTTATTATTGATTTTACACTTAATAAACTGCTGAGTTTGCCCCAAGTGTTGAAATATAACTGTCTTCAATTTTGTAGGTGAAGATATTGATTGAGATTTTTTTTAACTGCAGTAACAATCAACCACAGGTACAGTAATAGAATCCACTTATTAGTGGAAATACATTTATTGAATTTTTATTGAATTTCCTACTCTAAAATAAAAAAAATTGTGGTATATTTCCATAAAGTACCAATGAAAGAAACTCAAATACTTCAATCCCAATGTGTTAAAACTGAAAATGCATATTGGAATTTTTCTAAGTAATAGCAAAGTTTCAATGATTTCTAGTCAGATTATCTTATTATTTTACATGCACACTTCAAAAACCAATTTTAGTATTCATGTATGTGTTGAGATTACAGTACTAGGCTTTGGACTCAGAGCCTCACATTTGTTAGGCTATTCAGCCACAACCCCAGCTCTAGATTCTAAATAAGTTCCCTTAAAACAGTTCATCTGTATTACTCTCCTTGGTTAAGATGATGAAAAAGGTAATATAAATCGTGATGCATTGTACTGATAAATGAATATATTGTAACTACTTAAAGATAATAAAAAACATAATTTACAATAACTTTCCTTAAATTGGGGGAATTCAAGTTAAAGGTCTCTATCTCACTTAATTTTTTTATGCTATCACATGCCGTGGGTCTCAGGTTGTCCCTGAGGGCCTACCTTTAAGTTTATTGTGCTCAGAATCCGCTGGGAAGAGGGAATCTGGAAAGAGCTTGGGGAAGGTGAGTCCAGCATACTTGGGCCGATTCTCTACATAGTTTCTTACAGTGGGCTGCAGCTTCTTCATGAATTCTGGACATGGTGTTCCTAGTTGCTCAATTACCTTATTCCACTGGTCAATATCTGAGAATTGAACAGTTAAGGAAAAAAGATGCACAGACCACTAATTCTTGCCTTTGAACAATCTGGAGGCTATGCCTGTCAGAATCCCAAACAATCAACAATCCAGAAGTAGTTTAAAAGAGCAACATAAGACAAACATATAAAATTTAAATTGTCAGACTATGAATCCTCCTGGAATTTTAGAACCACTTTTGGAGAATCAGCACAATTTTTAAAAAGCAAGATTATAAAACTGTCTGATTTATAAAAATACAGGTTACTCAAATAACAAGAATAATCTTATGTTGAGCTAAACTTCTATTATAATTATATAATCAAGAGTTAAATATATGTATGTATGTGACAATGTACTATAGGTTTGTAAAGATAAGAAGTTATTTAAATAATGCAAAAAGAACATATCTTAGTGAGGAAAAACTTATATGGCCATGATACTTAGGATTTTTAAAAAATCTTACTTCCTAGTAACATTTTTATCCTGAAGATATCCCATCACTTATATTTTTAAATAGTGAATACATAAATATCTTAAAGAGTACTGACTTATTTTCTAGATTTCCTGTGATATTTTTCTTCCTTTTCTAAAACTTAAGTATTAACATTGTCTAGTTTTACGTATTGCATGTGGGAACAATGTAATTGTTTTGTTTTGTTGTTAATATTTGATACAAATATTAACATGGGCCATATTTATGAAATATAGTATGAAGTTTTGATATGTGTGTTCCTTTGTGTGATATTCAAATCGTGGTAAACATTTCCATCCTTCAAACCCTTACTGGTTATCTGTGAATAATCCTTTCTTCTAGATTCTTAAAATTATGCAATACATGGTAAAGTCCTATAGGCAAAAAACAAGAACTGACTTCTCCTGTAAATCATTCTTTTTATTCCCCAACACCAGATAACTAATTGGGACTCTTGCATCTCATTAATATTCTATAATCAGAACCTCAAGTAGATGAATGTTACAGATGAAATCTCTAGAGAAGCAGCAAGAAGCAGATGATTTCAAATATATTCCCTTGTCATGTGTCAGTGAGGCCTTGTATATTTGTCTTAAATCCAACATCACAAGCAGTGCTCTCTCCTAAAATGTTTGTTCTTCAATTCTGTAATCTATTGTTAATTCATTCCTACTGAAGTAACAATATCAGAGCCCCTTATCATAATATTAATTGATGTCTATAAAAATATTAGTTCTTGTTATTAAGAGAGTTGAACCAAAAATGTTTGGCAGGCTGAATAAAGACAGAATGAACAATATTTATCATGAATAAAATTAAACTGAAAACAGTTCAAAGGAGGTAGAACAAAGGTAAAATCAATTTGCACATCTTCAATTATTGTAAAAAAATATGATGGACTATCAAGAAATTAAATACAGATAGAAAATAACAAAACAAGGTCACACCTTAGTGAAAGTTCATTGAAATTATTTGCATGAGAATATAGTAGTAAGTCATACACATTAAAAATAAAGGAATTAAAAACATAGCAGGGCACTAGTGCCTCATGACTATAATACTAGCTACTTAGAAGGACCACAGTTCAAAATCAGCCAAGGTAGACAAATCTGAGAGACTCTTATCTCCAGTTAGCCAGCAAAAAGCTGGAAGTGTGGCTCATGTGGTAGAGCACCTGCCTTCAGAAAAAATTTTAAAAAACTAAGAACCAAGACCCTTATTTCAAGTTCGAGTTCCATCCTCCTCCTCTTCAAAAAGAAGGAAATTAAAACATCATTGGGAAATGGTGGTTTATGCTTGTAATTCTTGCTACTCATGTGACAGATTGAGAATATGATACTTCTAGAACAACCTGGGTGAAAAAATTTATAAGACCTCCATCTCAACAGAACTGTTGGATCTGGTGGTATGCATCTCTTATCCTAGTTATGGTGGAAAGCTTAAGTAGGTGGTTTGCGTCTGACAAGAGAAAATGATTTCCGTTTTTCTCTGTTTAGTGTGATGTTGTTACACATAACCTCTATTATGTTGAGATATATTCTTTCTGTTCATCCTAGTTTCAAAACTTTTTAATTATTGTTTTTCTAGTTTTGAAGACCATTGTAAGATCAGAAAAAGATATTCTATCTTCCTCTCTCTCTCTCTTTCTATCCCTGTCTTTGTCTCTCTGTGTGTATGTCTCTCTCTCTCTCTCTCACATACACACACCCCACAAATATATTGCATGCATGAAAGTTATATATATGACAGAGTTCCAAACCTATACTCTCAAGGTTATGTTTTGAATTGTTTTGTTTTTATACAACATCTTTAGCATGGAGCTGGGAGTGACTTGGTGAAAAAGTGGTTGACTGACATGTGTTGAGGCCCTGTATTAGTATCTTAGTATTACCAAAAGAAAAATAATTAGTTCTTTTATTCAATTGGGAATGTTCTTTTCCTCTCAAAAGCCCCCTTCAGCTTCTGGTAGCATAGATCCTGTAAGGGCCATTTAACGCACAATAATATCTATATGCATGGGAAATGAGCACAGGAAGAAGATAGTATAAACCAGAACAACTCAGGAAAACCTGGAAGGAGTTAATGTCAGTTGGATCTACCCAGCAGGGTTGGCCAAAGACTGATTGACATGTAACTTATACAGTTCTTATTATGATCTATTTTGTCTTATAAATTCTATTTACTATTGTAATTCATCTTTATTTACAAATCCAAAAATAGACATTACATTTTCTAATATATATTACTGTACGTGGTGGAGGCAAATTTTTCATTGAGCTATTGAAGTTTAATCTTTAAGGCCTCCAAGGACCAGCCTTATGAGACTGATTTATTTTGTATTTATACCATTCATTCTTGTTGTAAACAGAACTCTCCTCGAATTGTATGCTATTGTGACATTGCAAATGCTGGATCTGATTCTATCTGAATGTGATAGCATTTTAAACTGGGATATTTATAACTTGATAACTTAAAATGTAATTTGGAGATATAATTTGATACCTATATTTTAGAGATCTTTTCAAATTACCAACTAATACCACCATAAACAAAGGAGCTAATTCAAACAACCTGCACTAGCAAATAATCTACTTAAGAGCAGTTATAAGGGCACTGTGTTGTGTCCTGGGAGACCACTCTGGTAAGTCACATTCATTCTAGGTATAGCCTCATAACAATGGAAGTGGAGAAAAGATGACCCAACTTCTACATGAGCAAGAAAGCATGCCAATCAAATGTAATTAACAAAGCTGGACATTTAAATCTCAGACTTGTAATCATGGTACAAGGACGCTGAGAACAGAAGGCGTATATTTGAGGTCAGCCTAGGCAGAAAGTGTGAGACCACTTCCTTGACCAATAAAAGCTAGGCATGGTGGCACACATCTGTTATCCTGGTGAGGCAGTAAGCCAAATGGACATAAATGAGAGTAAAACTGGCTGGTTGCATGGCTCAAGTGGTGGTGCACTTGCCTAGCAAGTACAAATTCCTGAGTTTAAACTCTACTAATGCTACATACTCACAAACTCTCTCTCCCT